GGCTCGCGGACGCCCCAGGAGGAGGGGCGAAGGCTGGGACCTCGTCGGCAGCGCGGATCGTCCGGGCAGCCACCGTCAGTGCGGTTGCCCCAGGACTGGTTCTGCGGAGGTCAGCAGTACTCGAGGGGCAGTTTTTCCTTGGTGAGATGATGCTCCTGCCTAGGGAAGCCCTCTTTTCCCCCAGGAGGCGACTGCCGACACTTAAGAGGGCATCCGTCCTCTTAAGCATGCTGTCCCTTGGGGTGGTTTCAGTCCCTTGTCAAAGATTCTGACCAACCACGTCAGTAGTTCCTGGAGTCCACGGTAACTGAAGAAGAAGGTGGCTCAGAAGAGAGAGAAAAGGCAAATGGAGTTGGTTAGGTCAGTAACTGGACCCTCTACACTCTGGAGAGATTTGAGCAGTTTGTTAAAGTGCTGAACATAGACCTCTCCTGTAACCTAGCTATTCCACACCTGCTCTTTGCCCAACAGGAAAGAGTATGTGCCCTTAAAAAAGAGCTGTGCTAATGGCCCAAACTGGAAATGATCCACATGTCCCTCAATAGGTCAGTCAGTAAACCAATCGTGATAGATCCATGGAATGAAATATCTCCCAGGGATAAAAAAGCGCAAGTTTGATATATCCAACAGCATTATAATCCCATGAACATGCTAAGTGGAAGGTATCAGTGTAGAAAATACAAACGATATGACAGAAAGTATATGACCAGTGGTTGCTGGGGAATGGATGGGTCTGGGAGGGAAGGAAGGGTTACAAAGAGACATAGGAAATTTTGCAGGGGTTTGGATATTATCTTGATTGAGGTGATGATTTCACTGGTATCTACATTGTCAAGTTTGTCAAATTAGATGAACTTGTAATTACTCTTATGTCAATCATATGTCAATGTAAAGTTCTTTAAAACTTTCATTCTTACTTCCTTAGGAGAAAGGTCTCAAGACAATTCTAAGTGCGAATCCTTCAAAACTTTCCCCTAGAGAATGTATATCTGTATGTAATAGGAATTACATGATACATGTTGTTAAATACATATATATTGTTCTGCATCTCCTTTAAAATTCTTTTATGTAAATTTTCATCAGTGTCAATATTTACAGGTATAGGATTCTGTAGAAGGAATGTACCATAATTTAATCATTTCTCTGCTTCACAACATTTAAGTTGAATGCTGCACATTCACATTTGGAATTTTTAAACATAATACCAATATACTCCATGCAGGTTGTACTATTTTAATTTCTCTGAGCATCTTTTAATATATTTTTAAAGATATTTTAGTTGTAGATGGACACAGTACCTTTTTATTTATTTATTTTTAATGTGGTGCTGAGTATTGAACCCAGAACCTCACACATGCTAGGTGAGCGCTGTACCACTGAGCCACAACCCCAGCCCTCTGAGTATCTTTTTATTTATTAGCCACTCGGATTTCTGTAAATTGCCTCTTAATATAATTTGCCCATTTCCTTCCCTTCTTATTTCTCATATAAGAAGGTCTTCAAAATATGAGATATCTAGGTCTGAGGACATTTTTGTCTTTTGAGAATAAACTACAATTTTTCAAGTAGAAGGATACTGGTCTGCCAATAAGTGAACAATACTTGATCAAATACCTCCTGTGTGCCAGGCTTTGGGAAGATGACAATGGACAGAAAAGAACCTCATATAATCTGGTGAAGTCAGTCATTAAACAACGGTGATGAATAGAATTGAATGAATTAATCTTGTGATAATCAGCTTTCTATTACTGGATCAAAATACCTGAGAAAAACAAGGATTTACTTTGGCTCATGGTTTCATAGGATTTGGTTCATGATCACTCCATCCATTGTTTCTGGGCCTGTGTTGAGACAGAATATCATGT